TAAATCAATGAGAATGTTTACATTAAAGAGTAAAAATTAAACCGAAAGGATTTGAATGAAATCATTTTATAATAATTCTAATGAAGAAGGAGAGAAAGAAAAAGATAATAATTTGATAGAATAATTCATTTCATTCCAACCATATATATTATACATATATATATCCATCCATATCCATATATGTATATATATATATAATATATGTATATGGATAATATATATAATATATATATTATATATGTATGGATGTATGTAATAATTCAATGTTTAATTTTTTTATTATTTAAATAGGTATATAATAATATATCATTATTTAGAGCAAATGTGTTCATTTGGTGACATCGTTGACCTCATTTTGACATTTCCTATCCAATCATTTCCTTCTTTCGTCTTTTATTTCTCTCGTCTAGGATAGAAAATTTTCAAATATAATCTTTTCTGATATGTATATATATATATATTTATATGAATAGAATATTTAAGCAATGTATTGATAACGGTGAGGATGAAAAGGAAAAAGAATATTTCAAATTCATTTCATTTCAGAATATGATCAAATTCGGATAGGGAACGGAGAAAAAGAAAATGGATAATAGTTGATTTATATATCACTGCTAAAATTTCCAATATTTTCTACCGGAAGGAAACCGGGTAAAACGATTGATGACATCTTGAATTTGGCATGTTTCATCGAGAAACTTCTACTATTTGTTCAATTTGCTAGTTGTATTAATTGAATTAATATAATTGATTTATTCATTAGCAAAATTCATTCACTATGCATATTGGTGATTTGAAACGAGCAGTGGAAGATGTTGTTCTACGACCTGATGATAATCCTCTTAGTGATATGGAGGAACGTTCCACGATAGCTGCTCTCGATCTATGCCAGGTATTGTTATTGTTTTATTAATTCATTCAAATATACTCTCACTCTTCCATTTTTTTTATGTTGATATTAATGAATTAAATTCATTTTATTTTATGGTAACATTTTGAAAAATTCATTCTTATGATAATAGTGTTTGAATTTAGCAAAATTAAAATTTGTATACGATTGCATAAGTGTAAAATTTCAGTTAGGACAAGCCCAGGGAACTCTACTACGAACTTCAACTTCAAATCAAATACAACGACAACGAACCGCTACAGCGCCTACATCAACCTCATATAGTGGTGATATGCTTGCTAGTTCAGCGGAAAGTACTTGTAGCACTTCGGTGACAACTTCTAGTGGCCATGTTCTAGGTGCTCCACCACTAAGCATGAGTACATCTCTGGATACTATGGTTCATCTTTTATTTCATTTCAATTTCTCATATTTTTCTTCTTTGTCTGTGTGTATGTACTGATATCAATTATTGGATTTCAGTTATAAATTTCAATTTTGGTTGATTTTAATGTTATCGGCACAGCTGCTCGTTTTTCAGGTGCTACGACAGACTCTATCCTCTCGGCCATCTTTAGGTACGTCACGTCGTTCAAGTCGGGTCCTTCCACATTATAGTCAAAACAAGCGAAAACGTTCAAATTCAGTATCTTCATGCCTGAATAAAAGGTTTGTTTTATCGTTCCATTAATTTAAATACCGCACTAATTCGTTAAAATCAGGTTGAAAGAATTGATTTCAAAGTTTAGTCAGCTTGGAATTAATTAGTTCTTTTCTTTATCCGACAGATAGTATGAATGATTTAGAAGGGAAATGAAAGATTAGAAAAGATTATTTTAAAGAAATATCTCATTACTTCAACTTAAATTGTTCATTGTTTTTCAAAATATCATTTCATACCTTCCTTACTTATTCACTTTTTTCTGATACATTAACTTTAAACATCTACCTCAACTGATAGCAAATATATAAATTGTCTACCGATTTATAGTCTCTTGTCAGCTATGATTTACTTATAAGCGGTAGTTGTGTGAATATGGTCCGGTTTTGCAAATAACCTAAATATTGTTGTTCAGGTTTTGCAAACAATTCAACATATGCTTCGAGATTATGTGAACATTATGGTTTTAATCATTCGATTCTTTTTTCATGCTAAAAGTGTGACATTTTAGCTTTTTAATACATCATGGTGTGGCAAGTACAACAGGTGTTAGTGCAACGACAACTGGTGGCGCGTCGGCACTTTCGCTACCACCAACAGCTCGACATACTCCTTTCCGATTCGGCGATTTTGACGAACGTTCTTCTTCTACGAGATCTGCAAGTGGTGATAATCCTTCCCCGATCCCTTATACCACGGTTAATTTCATAGAATCACAAATCATAACACTGAAATCGGATTAACAATTTATTATCATGATTGATAATTTGACAATAACCATCCTTTTGCAGTAATTAGATCATTCGTTTTTTATTTGTTTTAAATAATTCAATTTTTTTGACACTGTTCCTTAATTGTGTTTCAGGGTCTTATTGAACCAATGTTAGGAATTCGCATGCAGCAACAGCAACATCAGCCATTGCAATCTGAAGAATGGACAAAAATATGTGAGGAAAGAAGAAATGACCCTAGGCAACAGCAAACTAGCAAATTTGAAGGTTTGCTTCATTTTCTTTTTCTTCGGTTTTCTATTTATTTCAAAATTACAATCCTTGTCTTACATCATTCTCAGTTATTCAATCGAAGGTGACATTAAGATCATTTGCAAACACCTAATGCTTTGAACATGGATTCAGTAATTTCTAATATTATTTATTTTTTTATTTCCTTTACTCTATGTTAGAAATAAGTTGCTAACATTGTCGTTTTGACGTTGCATACATTCATGTTACTTTATTAGAGCAATAATTGGTTTATAAAGCAATATAAGTTTAAAGTAACTTCCAAAAATATTAATAAAATGATAATTAAATATTACTAATTTGTATTACGTAAATATTGCCAATTTATTTTGTACACTTCAAAAGCTAAACTCTATGACGAAGTTTTAGCATGGCGTAATCAAACCTCAGCAATTAAATTTATTTTCGATATTCCCCGTTGTTTTATCATAAAATGTAATGGACTAGGCATAGTCTAGTCATTTCTGCTGGTATAATAATACTTTCGGCCATTTTTTTATCGATAAATTATTCATGTAATTGATTCATCATTGCTTACTATTGGACGATTTGTCGTACTAATTCAAGAGAATTTGAGGTACTGGCTCGCAGAACATTATAATGTATATATCTCAGTTATTAAAATGTTTTACGGGATTTATCTATAATAGTAGATTTGAAACGTAATATATTAGCTATTACCTGAGACTCTTACGAATGAAGGTATTTTTTTTCTTTTGTTAAATAATCAGATTTTACAGATAGAAATCTACAAACGACAAATAACTGTATGCCGAAATTATTTCCTGTAAGCTCATTTACTGCATTTTGTGAAGCACATAAAGCTTACGATTCAGATAATGAAGAACAGATGGAATGTGACTAAAATCTTATTGTATTGTATATAGAATGATGTATATTTTATCGCTTCTAATGCTTTCAATTTGCTAAGATAATGGTTAGTTTCATATAGTTGTACTTTTGGAATTTATTTCTTCTTTTTTTTACTTTGAGAAGAAAATAATTTTTGCTCTCATTTATAAATATATTAGCATAAAAACAAAAAGAAACGAGGAAGAGGCTTTATAGTCGAAAAATAAGAAGAATTTTTCCAATAATTATTCCTCTATGTAAATTTAATTTCAAAATGAAGAAATGATATTCGAAAATTGCATAATTGCTTATTGTGCTTTATTTAGCAATATAATGATATGATTTATTTGAACAACTGCGGGCAGATTTTTCTTATTGTATTTGCGCTTTTCGTATTCTTGAATTTGATCATTTGATAACAGCTATATAGCTTTTTTATAACTCTAAAAGAGTAATTAAAAATTGAATCTAAAAAAAAAGTAAAGTGAAAGATAGCTACATTTGGAAAATATCATGATAACATTATAAGTAATATTGCCCATTTAAGAGATAGGAAGTTTTAATTTCAATTATTTGTTTTTCCTTTTTTATTTCCAGCTGTTATCTAAAGATGCACACATATTTGCTGGTGTTTGTAAAAGCTTTTATTTCTTTCTTTCATTTATATTACGCAGTATTATATTTGGTATTTTGTCTAATTTCTCATATATTCTGTTAACATGCATATCCATGTCTCATATATGCATGTATTATCTTTACTGTAATATTTCTTCTATTAGATCACTGCAATTTACAGTGAATATTTCAAGATAACACATATTGTGTTAGTACAAGATCTCCATAAACACTTCCTAATTAATAGTTTGATCAGTTAAAAAAAAAAAGAATAAAAAATCTTATTACTTATTGATATGATCTCAACATATTTTAATGATATATAACATAGAAATGATTAGCTTTTATAGCGTAAGCATAACCACTTAGCTCACTTGTTCAGGCATTAACTACATTAACGAATGTAAACATTTTAATGAACCTTATGAGTACAAATAAATAGAGACTAACTTGCTAAAGTTAGTTAGACTTGATTTTATTAATTTCATATAATTCCTAAAAGACCGAAAAAAAAGAGGTTATCTATCTTTGATCATGAAAAGATATGTAATGAGACTTAACTTGCAGATAGATGACAAAAAAATTATGATGATCGACTGAGTAATATTTTTATTGTCGGCTTACTACACACACACAAATTAACAATGAAGTAATCATTTGTTTTCTTAAATGTATTGGAGATAGAAGTCATCTTGAGAGGAACTATTTCGAATTTGCACACTCCAAATATTTATTTACATCAATGAGGATAGAGATTTCTCTATTTATAGTTCTTCTTTTCTTAGTTTTTCTTCTTTTAACTGAAATAGCACAAAATTTAGCTGAAAATTTCCATTCTATTATTTTAAGCCAATAATTTTGTTGCATTACAATCATTTCTTCCTGATACTCCTAGCAGCAAATCAAAAATATATGTATATGATCAGGGAACAGTTGATCCTCAATGGGGATTCTCAAAAGTTTATAAATTGTTACTTTGCGATAAACTTACATCATCTTCCCACGTTTCACTTTCATTTATATCCATGTTTGACTTCATATCTTCCTGTAGTTTTTCATCAAATTCTTTCTTCATTTTTTCCTCGCCTATCCTGGTACCATTCAACGTAAAAGCAGCAAATTTCTGAAGTATGACGAACGTTCGATTATATAGATTTCATCAGAAATAGATTTCATCAGATATATACAGGGATTTTCTTAAACATTACCTTAGCTTCTTCAATGGAGTCGGTTATAATGATATTGTCATATATTGTGCTGCTGTTCATTTGCCATATCTCGATTCCAATTGCACCGATATCATCGTACAGATAAAGATTCGGATCTGGTATATAATTTGGGTTGTCAATTTCAGGATGTATCCATTCTCCCTAAATTTCCATTTCTTTGATTCTTCGATCCACCAGAACAAATAATTTTAACATGCTATTAATTTTATACAGGTGTCAGCGGGAAGAATGCAAATATCTGAAAGGCCAATTCATTCAAATTTCAAAAATCAACCTTATATTCTGGATTTGGAATCTCTTTCGGCACCCATTCATCCTTATAATCCGGATTTACCATTCCTGGTGGTTCCCATTCTCCATCCCATTCTTCATCCCAGTCGTTTGGTTTCTCAACATCTAAATTCAATATAAATTCTGGCTGGTCCCAATCATCCGGTTTTTTGTCGTTTGGATCAGGTATGAATTCTTCATCAACCCAATCAGCTGGTTTATCCACATCTGGATCCTAAAATTCTAGCAAATTGTAAATTGTAAAATCAATTTTAAGAATTTTAAAAAATCATAAAAGAAGAAAAACTGCATCAAACATATCATAAAATTATATGCGAAATGATATAGTTTGATAGTAGTATTCCACAATCATTGCATATATTTTTTGGAACAGAAGAAAAACTTGGTAGAATTTTTGTTGGATTATAAGAATAAGTAAAAAAGGGGAGAAATGCTAACCATAATTTTCCGTGGCTTAAGAAAATCGTAATGATCTTCTAAGTCACCAGTAATTAATTCTTCATAATCGGCAAGTATTTTAATGGTATTATTCGGATATAAAATTAAAGTATAGATATGAGATAGTTCATCACACTGAAATAAATATTACATTAACATCAAATATACATCAATTTCAATTTATTATAGCTACAACAACATGAAATCACAACTTCAAAAAATTTTTTATTTCAAATTCTGGTTTCACCTGAAAATTTCATGATTATAAGTAGGGAAAAGTCCATTTAGAAAAGTTAAAATTGAAGACAAAATTTTGGAATTTTTATCTGAATTATAAATTGTTCACTTATAATCATGAAATTAATTTAAATAATACATATAATTAATTTCAATTTTTGATTTATTTCAAATTCTGGTTTCGCCTCAAAATTTCAATTGATTTTATCCTTTCCAATTGATTTTAATGGGTTTTTTTAGAAAGGAAAATTCAAATAATATAATTAATATAATATAACTTTAATATATTAATATAATATAATATATAATATAACAAATAATAAAATTTAAAACTTATGGTTATAGTTGAAAAGTGAAGTAGAAATAATTACAATTACACGCAAAAAAGAATTGCAATGATAGTAGGAATTTTTGTAGCGAAATATGGCATGAGTTTTTTTCGAGTATTTACCGCATATATCTGGTCCAAACATTATCTCATACGGAGTTTCATCATTAAATTGCTTCTGATCCAAATCCGATTTCATGAGCTGAATTTGAATAAATTCATTACATTCTATGAAAAAAAGTTGTTTTGCTGAAATATCGAGGGGAATCTTTTACAGCTATAGTAAATGTCATATTCTCTTATTATTGTGGGCCTAAATGTTTTACCATTAAAAATTTCATGCCAATCACTTTAGGTTACGTATTTGCCACAATGATACATACTCTTTTTAATTTTTTGTATACAAGCCTTTAATTTTCCTCATTTATTATTTCATTGCTTTATGACATTTTACTCTATTGTCTCATAAATAATTACCACCGCTCTTTACCTCTACATCACACATACACATGCATATAGGCTCTATAGTTTCATTCTATCTTAAACAATTTTGTTGCGATTATTTTTCTGAATGATTGACTCCCATAAAAATTTTAAGCTATCTCTTATTTACTCAGCTTATTCCATCACATATTTTCCCTTTTAAGAAATGGCTATGTGAAATCGCAACTGTTTACAGTCTGTCTATAATGGGATTTCGATAAAAAGACTCGGAAGATATGAGCAACATTTTATTACTAATTTCACAAACATTCAATATAACTCTTTTGTGAGAATCATAAAATATAAAGGTAAATAAAACATACTGCACCTTTATATATAGGCCACCACAATCTTCATCAGGTAGAGTAAATCGTTTTACTGCATACTGAATAATCAGTGTTTTATTTTTATTCGAAAATTTTGGAAATTTTGCCGAAATAGCATAATTTTTGATATCCTTAAATACATACACAAATGATTCAAACATCTGAAGCGGAAAAATTGATGATTGAAACCATCCATATATATTATAAGTAATATATACATAATTAGTAATTATTATTAGTAATATATATTATTAGTAATAGTATTTAAATTGATAACCAGTACTATTTAAATTAGTATTTAAAATAATAGTATTTAAATTAATAACCAGATACCTCGGTTGTAGTGAGTCCAAGATCCTCCTCTGGATCATTATAGAATTGACCGTAGGAAAGGTTGAATTTTCCATAGTCGTTTCGATGTTCAGATAATACCCATCGCTTTTTCCAACCATCTCCGTCTAAAAATCAGCCGCTGATATTCAAGCAATTAAAGACTTTGTATTAAAAAAAATTAAAAAAGAAATATAACATGAAATATAGGAATTGGATGCTAATCTATCCTCATCTCAAACTTTATTCAAAGACAAATAAACAAGTGATGTTAACATTCCGATCGAAGGCCATAATCCAGTCATTAAAAAAGTTTCATCGGAAAGCTTTATAATACTATCGCTCATTCCAATGTATATAAAGCTTTAGTTTCTCGTATTTTATTATCTGGATTGCTTCATGAGCTAAATTGATCGTTTAATGAAATCTCTGTCCATATTCCGCTAATTTGCTAATTTACTTCTACGATAATTACAACACAAAGGTTTCTTAAGTTCCAAAAAAAAAAAATTTACTGCAATGTTTTGAAATAATTTTCATTAATTATTAATTATTATTAATCTTCATTTTCCTATCGAATTGTTTTAAATTTTTTGTACGACATGTTAAGATTTTTGCCATTAGGAATTCAAAAGAAATTTGGCCAAGAAGGATTTACGGAAATGTTAGGTTTGGCTAATTTTTATTTCAGCTGAGAAAATTTCTACTAAGTGAGAGAAAAATTAACTGGAACCTTTAAATTGTTCTTGGAAATAAATCTTGCTATTAGCGTAGCTGATGATGCATAAAAGCACAACAGATGATAAAGGATGGATCATAATTTGAAATTTGATTCCCTTACCGTTGCTTAAATCCTAAACATTCCGGAACGGGGGCAAACCACAGTTTCTAAGCTTATCAAATTCTCCGCCTTTCACTGACCCACGTCACCCAAACGCCAATCATTGATATGGTGCTTTAACGACGTTCATTCCAGCTGTTCTTAAGTCAACAATCCGAATGATCCCACCCTTTAAACCTCCTCATTTATATCAAACCAGTAGCTACATTAAAATTAAAGCTGCTAACTAGCGAAATACACAGACATTCACTGTACATCAGTTTCTAAATCAAAATAAGGCATTTCTGGGAACATTTTGAACATTTTCCGAGCTTCCAGTTTGTTGGAATCCATTGAAGTCCGTATAAATAAGAGTAAGATTGGAACCAGTTTAACATAGTTTCACACAATCTTGACTCTCCCTGATGATGGAAATCTATTAATTGCCAGTCAAATTCGAAACTCCTTCTATGGAACTCTTGTCTCGTCTGCTTCATCTAATTTTTTCATCACGTTACGAAAGAGCCAATGGTTTCAGGAATGACTACCAAAAGCAAAAGTGAGAAACAGGAGAAATTCGCTAAAAAGTCAGAAGTCAAAAGTTAGAATTCCGTCGCGACTCCTCAAATGGTTCATTTCGTAAATTGGTAAATAAATCTGGTAATGGTTCAACTCAGTGATGAGAATCATATCTATTCTGTATTCAAACATTTTCCAAGAATAAAAACATTTATTCCTGATGTGAACAAAAACAAAATCAAGAAGCGAAAAAAAAGAAAGAAATGAGGATAATGAATCAACAAGTTATAAATAATATTTATATAGCACAAATAAATTAAGAGTATCCCCAACACCAGAACTTTTGTCTTCTACACTACTTCTGAAATGTTGAAGTACTTCCCAAACAATAAGATTTTCACTAAAATTTCCCGAGGAGATCCTAGCGGTAAAAAGTAACAATGACGGATATCAAGCAAACTAATGTGGCAGTTATCATGCCAATAAAATCAATTTAGCATATATTATCCACTGATTTACAGTTCTTCATGTTCTTCGCTGTCCTGCAAAATTTGAATGTTAGTAATTGCTTATTAAGGAGATTTGATACAAAAAGAAAAAAAGAATGCAAACACAGTATAGACCTACTTTTTTCTCGTCTTCCACTTCTTTTTCTTCCTTTTCTTCCTCCTTTTCTTCTTCTTTTGCCTTCTCTTCTTCTTCTTTCCTCTTCTTTTCTTCCTCCTCATCTTGTTTTTCCTTCATTTTCTTCTCACCCTCCTTGGTTTTTTTCAAGGTCTTTTCACCAAACTTCTGTAATGATTCAGTTGAAATAGATAGTAATAAGAAACTAATTAACTCAACCTCAAAAGATGACGATTTTCTTGGCATCCCAGTAAAGTTGATCACAGTCATGTTGGTATCAACAACATAATATTGCCACAGCACAAGTATCAGTTAAATTTATAAAAACCGTTCTTAAGAAAAACAAAATGAAAAGCTGACATCAATATAACCATAAGATACCTTGGCTTCCTCTACACTGTCTGTCACAATGATGTCATCGAAAATTGTTCCCGATTTTACTTGCCACAAATCAAAGCCAATTGCTCCGATATTCTCATAAAGATACAAATTATCATCTGGAGTGTATTCTGAATTATCGATTTCTGGATGGATCCATTTACCCTAAAAAAAATATATATATAAGCCCAAAGCAAAGAAACGATACCGATACCGAAATGATTACGCTATGTTGGTAACACTTATGAAGTAAAGGATTTGCTTTAATTTCACCTTGTATGCAGGATTTTTCTTCTGCTTCGGCTTCCATTCTCCTTTATACTCTGGGTTATCAACCATTGGCGGCTCCCATTCTCCGTCCATCTCATCATCCCAATCTTCTGGTTTCTTAGCATCAGGGTCAGGAATGTGTTCTGGCTTGTCCCAGTCCTCGGGTTTCTTGTCCTCCTCATCATCAATGTATTCCCGTTCATCCCAATCTTCTGGTTTCTTGGCGTCTGGATCCTGAATAATGCCATTCTATCATACACACTTTATATGATCAAACAATAGTTGGATTATTTTTGAAAAGTGTAAATTGCCTCAATAACTTATTCCATTTAAACAAACAGATTGAGAATGGTAACCTTAATTTTCTTCGGAGGAAGGAAATCCCAGTCCGCTTCTAGCTCTCCAGATTCGACCTTCTCGCCATCAATTTGTACTTCGTAGGTATTATCAGAATTCACAATCAACGTGTAAAGATGCGTAAACACATCATCCTGCAGAAATAAACAAGTGCTACAACGACACATTCAGAGAAGAGTCGCAGTGGGATTGCATGTTTATCTCAGACGAACCAGAACACTAATGAAAGTGAACAGGCAGATACACGAGAACCATTTATATAGCTTCTCGACTAGACATCGATATACACTGGGCTATCGATAGCTCCGCGAAAAGCACAGATAACATACAAAAATTTTACAAGACAAAACCTTGCATCGGATATCCTTTTTGATCATATGATTTCTACCCTTATAATGGAATATGACATGGACTTTCTTTGTTCCAGGTCCACAAATATCAGGACCGAACATAATATGATAAGGAGTTTCGCCATGGAAGTCTTCTAGGTTTGCATCTGATGCCATCAGCTAAAAAAGGCAAAATCATAAAACAAGCAGATTCTAGAGCTGAAGAAGCAAACTTACATTGCTTCCATACGCTGTCGTCAATTCAATGCAATAGGTTAAAAAATTTCTTGATGTTCAATAAAAAATATTTTCCGTATAACATCACATCAAACGATGTTACCACCATTCTGCTATATTTAGTGTGTTAAACCTCGCTCGATAAATAGAAAAAAACCTTCTGTTATAAAAAGAACACACAAACAGCCGTCCTATAAATAGTGTAAAACGAGCAAAATAAGTCATTGAACTTGTAAACCACGACAATTTTGTAGGTAGAAAATAAAAAAACCATCTCGTAAAATAAACTTTACCTTAACGTAACCACCACCACAGTCGATATCTTGTTCATGCTTGACACTAAATTGAACAACCAGCGTTTTACCCTTGTTTGAAAAACTTTTGTCAAATTTGGCACCGATTGAATAAAATTTCGCATCCTGCAATACGAGTCGAAGAGATTCACTGCTGAGCACCATATGACTTCAACAATTACTTGCAATGGAAGTGTATAACGATATTTTATTTAGAATACTCCCAATAACTATATACAAATAGTAACCTGCGCCGTCTTGAGACCTTTATCCTTTACAGCATCACCATAAAATTTGCCATGCGATATTTCCCATTTGCCGAAATCATCCTTATGTTTTGACTTTATCCATCTTTTTTCCCACTCATCATCTGGATATCAAAAAGAAATTCTACATCTTAACTTAATAGTAATAATGGAATCAGTGATATCAACTGTCCTTAATAAAAGTATTCTTAACACAGTACTTCTTGTGCATACATCGATTCCAACTATGTTATAGTCGGCAAATCATGATCATGTTAATAGCATTTCATAATTATAATCAATCTTTTCAGTTTTTTGCTCCCATAGTTCAACGAATCTAACTCACAGAAAAAGGTTGAAATTATCGGACCTTATTCTTTTTTCGAAGAATACCCGAACTTACCCGTGAATTCTTCCTTGAAATATATTTTAGCACTGATTGCTGAGCAGCAAATAAGTCCTAACAGCAAATATAATTGCATCCCTAAAATGAACATGCAAATATGACGAGAAATCTAGGTCACGTGTATGGTTGAAAAAGGCACTTCTAATTCATGTTAAATGATGAACATTACAGCAAGTTCTTTATTTTAAAGTTCACGTTAACATAACCGGTGAATATCGGTACTGGTATGAATTATTTTGTATATTTGTATTAATGCACATCAAATAAATTCTGGAAAGGAAAAAAAGTGTCTGTGTTAACTTTTATCTCAGAATTTATCCTCTTAATCTACTTCTTACATCGGACAACAAATTATTAAAACGACGATATTTACAGAGATGTCAAAACTTTACTCATCAAAGGTCTGTTTTCATTAGAGGACCTAAGCATAACGATGTAAATAGCATTAGTACAAAGAAGTCATAGGAGGAAAATAAAACAATCTGAAACAAATTACAAAAGATAAGTAAACAGCCTGACAGCAGAATATACTATAGCTTAGTGCAACAAAATGGAAGTATTACTCTCTAGAAAGACCTAAGTGAGGTGAGTAGAGCCTAGAACAACAAGGAGAAAGTAATGAAGCCCAGAAAAACTTTCACAAATAAGTACCACGCTTAAGCCTAAATAAACAACCACTAAACAATCAACTCCCTAAAAATCACCCACTCATAGGTAGACTGTCAATTCAAGGATCGCACGCTTACTGGTCCACGTCAGCATTCAACCAATCAGCTGATGACATCTAAGCGGTTGATGGGCGGTGCTACTGGTTGATGACGCTACGCGTTTCCTCTTATCGTTGTATGCGAAATGGAAGCGATTGGTGAAGTTATGCGACTTGACGTTTTACGTTAATTGACGTAAAATGACGTCCTCTTCGGACGTGCTTGAACTGAATGGGATAATGCATTTATTGCTATTTATTCTGCCGATAACAAATGAATGCATAATAGAAGAATTATACGTGAACTATTATTATAAATCACGTTGAAGAAATACAGAAGACGATGATGTTCATGAAAAGGTTGTCACTATGTATTTGATAAATATTATTGAAATCCTTCTATATCATTCATTTCATCAATTGATTCTATCACTTGAAAGAATGAATGGACAATGGTGAAATTAAGAATTGAACAAATAGATTGCCGTATGAATTTATAGGGAAAATACTAATAGGTTAAAGTTCAACTCCACAAGTTACCATAAAAATATGAAATGATAATATTAGGTGATTTTTAGTTTCATTCCTGTGATAATTGCATTTCTTATAAATTGATATTTGACTTTTTATCAGTTACCTTAGGATGATAATTTATCCATATGTTGCAAAAGTTTAATCTTCTATGATATTTGAAATTTGTTAAAGCTAAAGTTATGATCACATTAATAATAGTATGAACGTAAAGTTACTGCACCTACAAAAAGGAAAGAGATAAATTGACAGCAAACTAATAATCGATTTCAAAATCACAATGAACATTTTAAATTTGTCACATTACAAAAGAAAACGAAAACTTTTCGATATTTATAAAAATTTAAATTTTGGCACAATTTTATATATTAATATTATACGTGTAATGCATACATTCACATTCATCCGCAAACTTCGATTAGTACTATTAGTAATAGTATATCATTAATATTATACGTGTAGTAATAGTATATCGTCACGTATCCTATGTGAATTTTGATATCTAAAAACCAAACAACTTCTACAATACAATTGTTTCCTTTTCAACTAAGTGGTGAATTTCAGTTCAGAATATCATTTCATCTTTTATTCTTTAAATTCGATTTAAACTTTACTTAATTCATTTTTCCTTATATCTTGATATAACTCTACCAATGGTAATTTTATAGCAATTTCCGGATCAAACAATCCTTGTTTCATTCATTGATTGGCTGTATGTCTGTAATGACCTCAACTATGATACTTCTCCTCTTGTCTTTTTTGCGAACATAAAACCATCTATTCGATCACAATTTTATATCTGATTGTTTATTTTATAAAAGGTGTATAGAATTTTTTTGTTTATGATGAATGGATAATAAATGCAAACAATGTAAGAAGACAAGCAATGTGTCGGACTCATGCTCATATTTACATTGAGTGATAAAAATTTGATAGCGAAGTACAGATTTTGATAAATTGCAAAAGTGAGCTGTGTACACAGTATGAAGACTTGTTCGGATATTCAAGCAGATTAAAGATCTAATCAAATGATTAATCTCATATTGCTTTCTTGATTAATATGAGATTAATCATTTGATTAGATAACGTAGATTGTTGCTTGATTTGAACTATAAGAATTCCATTTATCATTTATCCATTTCCATAATCAAACTGAGGAAAAAAGAAATATCAATTAATCCGACTCGATCCATAAATTTGAATCCCTAAACTTGATCTTTAAAGAGGACCATGGGCAGTATCAAAATTTTTAAAACAGTTTGCCAAATTATTCAGCACAGAGATAATACAGAGATGCTGGGTCTGGCCAAGAAAATGAGCTGGACTGCCGTGTTCCAATGTTGACGATTCGTTCTACTATATCGCTATAAGATGACTGTGAACGGATTAGATTTTCTGGAGGTATGCTGAATCCAAGCTTGAAAATATAGCTTTTCATATAAGTTTTTCGAGAGATATTCAACCATGTGGTGAAAAAATGGCATATATTTTCATTTATTATTTACCCAGCTGTACTATTGTTATGGTGTTCTACTAGCTGAAGGAGGATGCATATGTTTAAGCATGCTATTCATTGTATTTTAAGTTTCTATTTCTACCAAATAAAATGTATAAAGCAGAAGGATTAAATCTGATCCCTCTCTCCAAATTACCAGTAGCATTTAAGACCAATTAATTCTAAAAATGAGATTTTACTAAAAAACAAGGAATGTGATAAACTGTAAATCAAAAAATTTCCATCATAGCAAATTAGCACTAATCTGTCCCACTAAGACATCTCAAAAGTTCCTGCAGTAAAAACATTCCTTATTCCTAGCGTCAGTTTCTACAAAGGGTTGAATCAATCCAAAGCTTACCTCGCAAAACCTAAACTCCCATCTAAGTTTGATTGTTTTCGGATAAAGTTCAATAGATTATTTATACTGAGTGACCAGCATTCTGATGCACTATGTATTGCATGATGAAGCACTTGAAATTCCACTTATTTTATAACTGTACAACAAAAACTATTACCAGTTGTGTGCCAGTAACTCATAAAGTTTTGCACTTACGATACAATAATGCTAATATATTGAATAAATGAAGGAGGTTTTACATCCGCATATCTTATCGATCTCTAATTTGCATCCTTTGGTATGCCTTCGTTGATAAAGTCTTCCGGTTTCTTCCGGTAGGCTTCGTAATTCATTTTCAAGCACAACTTTGTCATGAAGTAGAATACTACACCTTGAGGCAGCCAGAGATACCAACGGTCGAACCAAGTGTTTCTCAATACCTATAATCATCATTCATACAAAATATTAAAAAAGGACCTATAAAATACTTATCATTAAGTTTATCAATGGAACATTTAGTCATATCACTCAACAAGATTGTGAAAATATTAAAAATATGCATAAACAACCAAAGACTGCAGTAAATTTGTTCGTCTCTACTCAAACAGTTTCTTTTATCTCGTTTATCGATGATCAGATCATAGTTCCTTATCATAGTTCAAACTACTCCGTTACCAGTTAATGGTTAAGAAAGACAAACATGAAATGGAGAAATGAAGAAACTAAACATATATTTTCATCAAGCATAAATAATAATAGCGAATCACTATCAATCAATGATAACCAACGATTAATAATGAGATATGGATCTTTTAACAACTATTTTAACATTTCAGCAGATCAACAAGACGTCAGAAAAACAGACCTTATAAAAGGCATCCTTCCAAAACCCTTTGAATACTCTTTGCTCATTTGGAGCCAATGCAAATCTGTACTGTCCATAAATCTGAAATAATAGAGTTGATAAATAAAGATACAAGTAAATAGACAGGTAAATTAAAGTTGTTCTTACAACTATGAAGAGGATAAATTGATGAGTACGTGGGTAAGTAGATATGTGAGTAAGGAAAAAATAAAGTGGTAAACTTGAAGAAAATAAAATTGTACATGGAATCATTTTTCCTAGAGATAACATCGAACAATGAAAAAGTATGCAGTACTATAAATGAAGAGAAGGAATGAGAGAAAAAGAAAAAGAGGTGACTTACCTTTCCAAGCTTCCCAAATTCCAAACCCAAACGGACAGGTGACAATTTCATCTTTACGTTTCTTTTAACCGTCCTAATTCCTGAACCGAAAGGGGAACTTCGCGATAATGGGCGGAGTCCACGGACAGATAAAAGAAATGTATAAGTCATGTGGTTCTGTATGTTATTCCATTTTTGTTCTAATTTCATTAATTCCGCTGCAGTTATGGTAGGTTAGTAAGTCAGCTCAGGTCAGATCAGGTCAGGATAAACTGATAGGTCAAACGAGAGGGGATGGATTGATACATCAAGTTGAAGTGATCCGATACTCTTTTTTTTTTTCTGCCCGAAAACTGGCACTGCACAAACCGGCATGAGGACGTAAACCTGTTGCCTTCTCTTGCAATTTATTTGGATTTTATGAGTATTCAGATGGAATTAAAATTTCAAGCTTGATTATAGCTAACGAAGTCAGCATCCATCACTTCATATCTTGCCTTACTTGTCCTTCCTACCCCTTTCGACAAAGGTTAACTTATATTAGAAATTAGAAATGACCTGTTTATGTTTTCAAATTACGCGAAATATAGACTAAAGCTATAGTTACTATTTAAAAGTATTACAGAGAGCATGTATCATATGTAAGTAGCTCAATGGATGATGGCTTGGATTGTCGAAGTTGCAGTCCTGCTCAGGAGGAGGTATACATTTCCTGCTTTGACTATTTTTTCTTTTAATGTCTTTTCGGCAAAATTTAATTCTTAAATTCCTGTAAGAAAAACATCTTTTTGCATGCTTTATATCATTGAAGAGAATTTCCACCCCCCACCCAGCTTTTCATTAAATCACTTTCAATAGTGAATCTGTAGATTTTCTTTTGTTGTGTCTTCACATTATTCTCGGCAGTGAATCTTTAGATTTGTCTGTTGTCAATTACTGAACCTAGTTTATGTGTTGTGTTGTTATTACAGCCAATAAACCAAGTTTACGTGTTATTATTACAGTCAATAAAGTTTTTTTGCAAAGCTTCAGGTAAATTTCAGTGTAATATTTCTACATGCTTCAAAGTACTGTTTGCTTTGTCCAAGTTAGCAATAGCATAATAGCGAACCATTTTCTTCACTACTGATTTACAGGTATTTAAAAAGATGCATAAACGATGTAATACTTTTTGTTAATTCCTTAATTCGCAACATAAGGAATAGGTTTAAAAGGTACCATCGACTCGTTGTTCTCTTGAAGATGTCAAAGGGTTGCTCTTTGTTAAGGATATATGTTAATGAAAAAAGCTTTTCATTTGTATCGCTTTCTTTTATTTCCATTGCATGTATTTCATTCCTTGCTTCAAATAATTTCTGTTTTTAATATTTCATTTCGCTCTCTCTTGACTACCTATCCGGTTGCTACGATAGCATTTTGTGATTTTCATTTATTTCACACACGTGTATGGCGGCGCACAACACGATACCTTCTGATGAAGACGATTGTACAGTGGTTGATGGGGTGAGACTTGGTTGAAATTCCATCAAAATTTGCATCATCGTACTTTGAAGTGCAGACTCAAAAATTGTGTCTTCTGCAAGTTTTTTTTAAGATGTGCCTTGTTGTTGACGCTGTAGAACGGATGGTCAAATTGATGCATGGTGATTGCAATGATCGGAGGTACTGCTTGCTGCAGAAATTATCAGGTAATAATTAATTAAGATGGATTTCATGCAAGTTTAGCTGGATTTAGCTGGATATTCAGTAATATTTCCGAATGCAGGCTATATATTTCGAATTCTTCCAGTTTCCAGACTAATCTGATTTCTTTGATTGCTTGAGAAGACACACACAGATACTCACATGGCATATGCATAAAAGCATTATTTCCTCATAAATCGTTTGCTTGTATGTTATTGTACATATCTTTCCGAATGGTTTAAAAATTTATGATTACTGGGTGAAAGTGTTAAATGCAATTAAATAATTGTGCTCATATCTTTGTCAATTTAACGCATACTCAAAATTTCAAAAGTACTCGACCTTAATCGATCATCAGTTACTGTTTTGCCTTTTCAGAGAAGCAGTTGAAAACTTTCGGCATTGTTTTGGCAGAATCAGAATTAGAGGATGATGATTATATACGTATGTTTGTGATTTTTTTTCTCGTCTAAAAAAGAAAATGTTCGTTTAATTGTGAAAAAATCATTTTCAGACTGTGATCTTTGCAGAGTTTATTACAGAGCATCGTGTCGACTGCATCCATTATTTATTGTCAGTGATAGAGAAGTAGGTTGTGTTCTACATTTCATTATTTACAACTAATATACGGTATGATAAGCGTGGTATTCAATAATTATCTATGAATGCATGCTATATGCTTCAAATTCTTTTAGTTTCCAAACTAATTTGGTCTACTAGAAAAACTGACGGGGATTGTGTCACTGTTGTTATGCTTCTGCTAATATCATTTGTTTCAGGTACGCGAAGATAATAAACCAAGAGCAGAACAAACTTTACCTGCTTTTTTCGAAATTAAGACTTCTAAAATTCCGAAAGCAGGATTGGGCGTTTTTGCAAGGATGGATATACCGATAGGACTTGTATTCGGCCCATATCAAGGTAGCTTAATTTTTATATAAAAATAATGGCTTGAGTTAATAATACCATTTTGAAACAATAATTTAAGGAATACTGTTGTCTGACCCGAAGAAAGCCGATCAAAATGGTTACTCTTGGGAAATTCGTATTAGTGGAAAACCATCACAATATATTGATGGCAGTGATCCAAGATATTCCAACTGGATGCGTTATATAAATAGTTCGAGATGTAAGCAGTGATTAATGAGAGTAACAAAGAGAAAAACTTTATTCTTATTAGAAATTTGAATACTCATACGGATAAATACACTATCCGCATTCCTTCCTCTTCAAGTAAGCTATTTAAAAAAATTCGCGCAATTCTGCTTATACTTATAAAAATTATCTTATAGCTTGTTCATCCTTCTATCCAAAAAGACTTTTGTATTTCAATATTAAGAATGCTGATTTTGTAAGACTTATATCGTTTCTAAAATAATTGAAAAATGTCTTTAATTCTAAACGGCATTGAACTTTTAGTTGAGAACGAACAAAATCTGATTGCTTTCCAATACAATGGTTCAGTTTATTATCGCGTCTTCAGGCCGATTAGCGAAGGAATCGAACTTCTGGGTAAACTCACTTCGTTACACAATTATTCAATTCGATTACTTAACCCTCACAGTAATCTACCTTTCACTTGTTGAATTTCTTCTTTTTACTGCCACAAACCGTATATATATTGACATTCCAAAAGAAATTAAACTCCATGATGGGAATCAAATGGTTAAGTTCGGTCATATGTGATATATTTATTTGCCAAAATATTCAGTATGGTATGGGAACAAATACGGCGAAAGTTTGGGTGTGCTTAGTGTAACACCAGGGCATAAAATCCCACTGGAAAAGAATCCTTATGTCTTCGGCTGATCAATATTGGTAACAAGTAAGTGCTCGTTTTGATTTCGTGTTGGTTCAGTGAATTAATGCTTATCATATCACGAAATAAATTTTGCAACGCAGACTGTAACGCGACACTTCGATTTAAGCCTTCGATTCAAGTGGTTTTACTTCTGACAGTATTTTGTTGTTCAGTGTTGTTTTTATTTTCATGCGGATAATAAAAGTGTAAAGTGGTAGCAAACATATTATTAGCAAAATATTCAAACTGGAAGAGTTATATTGACGAAAACAGGCACTTAATACGACTGGTGGTAACAAATATGTTGTCAAAATATTCAAACTGGAAGAAGCAGATGACCAAAATAGCAAACCAGCGATAAAGTTCATTCTTTCGTCTTAGTTTTTATTGCATTACTTGAGATTTTCTGTTGCTTTTGTTCACTCGGGATTGTTGGCACACACGGTATCAAATGTACATTTCTTTGGAAATCCTGTTTTGTATTTCTCAACTCCGGCACAAGTAGATATCCTGAAACAAATCAATCCTATTAGCGAACGTTGTGGTACTTTCAGTTGATGGCAAATGTTGTTTAACAAGAAACTGTAAGAGCTGAACTTCATCTAGCTTTTACATGCTGGTTATTGGAAAAATGAATATAACTCGCTTCCCTTCGGAATAAATTTAAAGTTCTAGAATAAAGAAGGTTAAAGAGCTGAAAAATAACGGGATTAACTAACATCAGTCAATTTTAGAGTTAAGACATCGTAAATCGAACATCACTGTATAATTCGAGATTTCATTAGGTTTCATTATTTCGAAGAGGAAGAGCTCATTATTCTATCATCAGGTGAGAAAATGGGTAAGATAAGGGATGTCAAAGAATACCTCTTTCGATGACTGAAAACCGTTCATTTAAGCTAACTGTTCGATTGCTATATTTGAATGCTTTTTCAGGAAGTGTTACAAAATTACGTTGAATAAATTCTCGCCCTTCTAAAGGTTTGATAGTGTAACTGTATCCCCGTGACATTGGTCTGAACAATTATTAAAGATTATAAAGCATAAAAACATGATCCCTAATCGTTGACGATAGATAACATAGATTGGTCTACATACCTATATACAAACATCCTTTATACGTATATGGGTACTCTTAGTGGTTTTGAATGCTGCAGATTGCTTTAAAAATTATCTCGAAATTTTAAATAGTATTAAGCTCTTCCCAATTCTATTTTGACAGTGATATATAATTACTCTTCGATTTCCCGTACTG